ATCCTTGGGTCACAGGGTAGATGTTCATTTCTAGAAAGGCCTGGCATTTTTCAATATAATATTTCTTGTATCTGCGCTAGCAATCGATTACCTAATTTATTTTTCGTTTACAAGACTACCAATGGATAATATATGTGAAATGTATTCATCATATTTCGTTAAAGAAGGACTGGTAGTTGACTGTTATTTTGCCATAATAATCGATTACGTTGCTTATGCTCATATAAAGTAGATGTCGACTCTAATTGACCCGGGATGACTATAACACATATTCTAGATCTACTGATAGTCTATCTACCTACATTCTATGTATATAACAGGAAGGGATTTTTCGAAAGCCAGCAGCAGGCAATTTGAAGACTTAACCGAGAAGTAAGGACGTCAATTAAGTCTTTCTTAAAGTTATTTTTAACACATACTAAAGAGACTTCCGCTACGATTATCACAGCATCTAAACGTCTTGATGAACCAGAAATAAGACGCTTAGGTCTGTGCCGTGTAGTTAGTAGGCTGACATGTCCAAGTAAAAGGCTCATCAGCAAGGCTAGCGCTAAAGAATAGACTGTAAATCCTCTATTATCACTAAGGCCAGATAGCTAAGCTGACCACGACGAATTGAGGCAAAACTTCAATAATAATATTTAACTTTATTGTGCCTGGGGCTCGCCCAGACGGGAAAACACTTTCTACCTCAGCACCTCCGGCGTGACTCAAATCACAGATGGACTGGTTAAAGGGGAAAAAAACAGCCATAGCTCATCGGGTTGAAGGACACGCTCGAACTTAGAGATAAAGAAAGCTTCTTTTAAGTCATATGTTGGATACGAAAATTTGTAGCTATAGGCAACTGAGATTTTGCCATCAAATTCGATTATAACGAAATGCCTAAATAGTGATACATGACTTTGTAGATTTCAGGAATCTGATAGACATATTGGAAACAGGCTCACGTCAACATCAGTCAAGCTCATGATGGTCACTGAACTAGCTTCAATTCAACACAAATGGAATGACTTGGCAAACAAGAGTTGCTTAAGGGCAAGAGAATTGATAACCGAAAGGTTGAAAAAAAACTAAGGTATGCACTGGTCTCTTTTTCGGATGTGTATGGTAGATGGATGGGTAAAAATAGGGGCTTAAGCATGCAGGACTAGCATGGCGAAGTCAGTGAGAGACTACTTTGGGCTAATGCTAAAAGGACTCTCCATTTAGTCTTTACAAAGAGATGGTTTAGGTTCTCAGACATTTTGTTACAATATTTAGTCAGAATATTGTTGAAACCTAACATATGCATAACATTCCTACCCACTTGATACATTAAAAGTATCAAACTAGTCTGGATTTGCTTGTCATATAATATATTTATGCTATAACCATAGCGTTGTCGAGCTACATACACCCAAATTCTAGTCGGGGCACGTTAACAGTTCGAATCTTTACGAGGCTGATGATAAAAAGAAAAGTTGAGGTCTTATCTGCAGTTATCAGGATGAGAACGGCTTTAATGGATTCCAGGTACAATGTAATAAAGGCCAGAATCAAGGTCTCTATTCATGACATCATAATTTATTTCATTAATTCCCTTTATTTCAATAATAGATGAGATTCAACATATTCTCAATTTGGGTAATCTGTTGACTATCAGATACATCGTATACAAACGTCTACACCCTGCATTTAGAGTAAGCGGCCCTTGCACAAACCTTCTTACACATAAGGATGTCAACCCTCTTTACTCACATCTCAATATGTTTGAAATGACCATAGATACAATTTTTTCATTTAAAACTAGGATTTCCAGACAACTAGTCTATCATATATATATATATATATATATATATATATATATATATATATATATATATATATATATATATATAT